ACCAGCCACTGGTGTGGGGGTCTGCTGTCAGGCTGCCAACTCCATCACAGGCTTTTTTGAAAAAATTCAAGATGGCTGAGCCATCGCGCCCCTCTTCTACCACTTTTCCTTAACTCTGCCTCCCTGTCGGTATGCAATCCACTTGTCTGCCCTCTCCTCCGAAGCTCAGAGGGGGCGGTTACATTTAATACAGTGTGTCAATATTCTGTTTGTTCCCTTTCCAGTCCTCTAGTGTCCTTGAACCCCCCCTCCCCCCCATCGTCTCACCTTTGATTTTAAGAAATTATCAGCCTTTTGGCTCTTACGCTGATGTTTTTTAAAGGGTACTTATCTTGAAGGTGACATCCTGTACTGTGTGCTACTCTACTCTTTCTTGAAAGTTGATCTCAGAAGAGAGGTCTGGCACTAGATTTTGAGGTATGAGAGCGATAGTCTGCTGTTTCCATTTGTTCAGTTTTTGTTTTTAATTTTTAAAGTAAGGATTTGAGTTCTGCACCCTGTTTTTCTCCCATTCTATCCGGGACCAGTTATTGTGACCGCAGGCAGAGCGACTGCTGGTTGTTGGGTGCTGCATAGTTCTTCTGGTCTTAGGGTAGACGAGGCTGTGACTTATCAACCCGCTTCTTTGTACTTTTGGCCACCTTCTTACTGTTCTGCTCTTGATGACTGGAGACCCATGGTTGTGTCTCAGATGGTGACCTGTAAGCTTTTAAGACCCCAGCTGCTCCTTACTCCACTAGGACGCAGACCGTGATTCTTGTCAACTCTGCTAACTGATTGTTATCTCGTGAGACTGTGCTCCTGAGCCTTCAAACCATGCTGGAAGGGGTTTCATTCTATTTGAGGAGTATCCATATTTATGTCTTCAATGAATATATGTACCTACGCTCACATTTTATTTATATGTAACTGGAGAAACACATCTGTACTTATCTGCATTCCAGTTTATCTATACCCATTGGGTTAGGCTGGCTTGTCTAGAGAAACAAAACCAATGGCATTCACATATGTATAGGATAGGGCTTTATATCAAGAAGTAATTTCATATCAAGAAGGTGCCCCAGCTCAGCCCAGCTCAAGTTCATAGGTCCGATGCTAGTGGGGGCCTCTTCAGACTGACATCGCAATAGGCCAGTGATGCTAAAAGGGGAAGCGGGAAGCAGGATGACCACAGGGCAGAGGGGGCAGAGTTGCTCTGTGGAGACACGGTAGGGCCCAGATGGCTCTCAGGGTCAGGTGGCCCACATGGAGCCGTCCCTGGAAGCAGGCCAGAGTTCCAGTGAAATCGAAGCGAAGGTGAAGTGCTGGAGAGGCAGGAGAAGTTCCCAGGGTCTCTCCCCTGAAAAGGCCAACCCCCTCTGCCCCCGAAGGCATCATCAGACTGTGACTTGATTGGCAGGGTGAACTCCACCCCTATAGGTCCACAGGGGTCAAGTTAACATAAAATCTGGCCAACACACCCATCCATATGTACATAAACAAACAATATTACCTAAGTTATGAAGCACTGCTTTTTTGTACTTAAGCTCCAAGGAAGGGAGCATTAACATGGTCTGATTGCCCCTCACCCCTCACCCCTCACCTGCTTAGCCTAGGCGCTCTTCTGTGCCATCTAGTAGCACAATTTGGTCCAGTGGGAAATCGCCTGAATGGAAGGCAGGCTGATGACCATGGTCCCCTTTCTTTTGGTCAGAGAGCACCATGCTTCTGGAGCCGCACGTCCCGGTGGATGGGGTCAATTGAGAAGTCGGGGTTGGCTCCATGAGAGCTCCATGACTGAAGCAGGGAAGAACGAGGCTTACCTGCAAGAACATTCGACGTGCAGGGCAAAAAGACTGTAAATCCATACTATTGCTTGTTCATCCCTCCCTCCATCCATTCATTCTTTCAATCTATGCTTTTTGAGCCCAGCTGTGTAGTCTTGCATGGTGGTATGCTCAGATTCGTGGTTGCTTATCTGTTTCAGCATTGCTGAAGGTATCAGGGAATTCAATTTCACCCCCATTTATTTTATTTCATTTTATTTTTCAAGTAAGTCATTTTATTGGGGGCTCTTACAGCCCTTATAACAATCCATACATCAGTTGTATCAAACATTTGTACATGTTGCCATCCTCATTTTCAAAACATTTTCTTTCTACTTGAGCCCTTGGTATCAGCTCCTCTTTCCCCCTCCATCTCACCCTACCGGCCCCTTGATAAATTATAAATTATTATTTTCATATCTTAAATCATCCGCTGTCTCCTTTCACCAGTTTCTGTTGTTCATACCCCTCGGGGTAGGGGGACACCCCCATTTATATGTCATCTGCCTGCTATTTTCTGGGAACTCTTTGTGTGTTATGCTACAGAAAGCATTTCTCAAGAACCTAAATTATAGTATGCTATCAGATTTCAAGAGGAGTCCTAGTGGTGGGCGTAGCGGTTAAGTATTGGACTGCTAACAGCAACCTCAGCAGTTTGAAACCACTAGCCACTCTTCGAGAGACAGACAGGCTTTTCTATGTCTGTAAAGAATTACATTATCAGAAATTCACAGGGGCAGTTTAACCCTGTTCTATAGGGTCACTATGAGTCTGCATTAGCTTGATGGCAGTGAGTTTGATCAAATTCTATCGGTTAATTTGAACCCTTTGTATTTGTAGGTTGAATCATTGGACAATGTCACGCACTTTATGGACACTGTGGACCTTGGGGGCCATAATCAGCCTTGGCAAAGAAGAGTCCCCTGACCAGATGTCCCTGTCTTGTGACCCCATGGGTGTCTGCACTGGTTCCTCCAGATCTTTAAGCTCCATCCCCTCAGGGCTCACAGCAGCGGTGAAAAGTCTTGACCTGTCCAACAACAAGATCGCGTACATCGGCAACACTGACCTGCAGACGTGTGTGAGCCTCAAAGTGCTTGTCCTGAAGTCCAGTGGGATTCATAGGATAGATAAAGATGCCTTCTCTTCCCTCGGAAATCTCGTCCATTTGGATTTATCCTATAATTACTTACCTAATTTATCATCCTCCTGGTTCAGACCCCTTTCTTCCTTACAATACCTAAATTTATTGGGAAATCATTACAAAGAGCTTGGAGAAGCGCCTCTTTTCTCCCAATCTACCCATTTGCAGGTCCTGAGAGTCGGAAGCATTTACACCACTAAAATTCAGAAAAAGGATTTTGTTGGATTAACTTTTCTGGAGGAACTTGAGATTGATGCTTCCAATCTCCAGAGTTATGAGCCCAAAAGTTTGACATCTATTTCGAACATAAGCCACCTGATCTTCCATCTGAAGCAGCCTCTTTTTTTACCGGCGATTTATGTAGACCTCTTAAATTCCGTGGAGTATTTTGAACTGAGACAGACTGATCTGTATTCCTTCCATTGTCCAGAACTACCTGTTGGTGAAACCAACTCATCTATCAAAAAGATCACCTTTAGGAGTGTGGGAATCTCTGATCGAAGTTTTAATGACATTGTGAGACTGTTGGATTATGCCTCTGAATTGTTAGAATTGGAGTTTGATGAGTGTACCCTTAATGGGGTTGGTGATTTTGATCCATCTGTTATCAGGATATTGAAAGGCCCCAATAAAGTGGAAACAGTGGTATTCCGGAGGTTGCATATCCCCCAATTTTACTTATTTCACGATTTGAGTACCATCTACACGTTTGCTGGAGCTGTTAAACGAATCACAATAGAAAGCAGCAGAGTGTTCCTGGTTCCGTGTTCCTTTTCCCAGCACTTAAAATCTTTAGAATACTTGGACCTTAGTGAAAACTTGATGGTTGAGGAATACTTGAGGAATTCCGCTTGTGAGGGTGCCTGGCCCTCACTCCAAACCTTAATTTTAAGGCAGAATCATCTGACATCACTAGAAAAAACGGGAGACGCTTTGCTTGCTTTGAAAAACCTGACTAGCCTTGATATCAGTAAAAATGGGTTTCAAACTATGCCTAAAGCTTGTCGATGGCCAGAAAAGATGAAGTATTTGAACTTATCCAGCGTCCGATTACAATGGCTAACCCGTTGTATCCCCGAGACACTGGAAATTTTAGATGTTAGCAATAACAATCTCAATTCGTTCCATTTTACTTTTCCACAGCTCAGAGAACTCTATATTTCCCAAAATAAGTTGCTGACGCTACCGGATTCCATTCTCCTACCTGTGTTACTGGTACTGAGAATCACCAGGAACACAATAACTAGCTTCTCTAAGGAGCAACTTGTTTCTTTTCAAAAACTGAGGACACTGGAGGTGGGTGAGAACAAGTTCATTTGCTCCTGTGAATTCCTGTCTTTCACACAGGGGCAGCCAGCACTGACCCAGGTCCTGGATGGTTGGCCAGAAAACTACCTGTGTGACTCGCCGTCTCATGTGAGGGGCCAGCGAGTTCAGGACGCGCATCTCTCCGTGGCTGAGTGCCACAGGACAGCCGTGGTGTCTGCTGTGTGCTGTGCCCTCCTTCTGTTCAGCCTGCTCATTGGGGCACTGTGCCGCCGTTTCCATGGGCTGTGGTACATGAAAATGACGTGGGCCTGGCTCCAGGCCAAAAGGAAGCCCAGGAAGGCACCCAACAGGGAGATCTGTTATGACGCCTTTGTTTCTTACAGTGAAAGGGACTCCCAGTGGGTGGAGAACCTTATGGTCCAGGAGCTGGAGAATTTCAACCCCCCCTTCAAGCTGTGCCTTCATAAGCGGGACTTTGTCCCTGGCAAGTGGATTGTGGACAACATCATAGACTCCATTGAAAAGAGTCACAAAGCTGTCTTTGTGCTGTCTGAAAACTTTGTGAAAAGTGAGTGGTGCAAGTATGAACTGGACTTCTCCCACTTCCGTCTCTTTGATGAGAACAATGATGCTGCCATTCTCATCCTTCTGGAGCCCATTGAGAAAAAAGCCATTCCCCAGCGGTTCTGTAAACTGCGCAAGATCATGAACACCAAGACCTACCTGGAGTGGCCCGCTGACGAAGCCCAGCAGCCGGGGTTTTGGTTAAATTTGAGAGCTGCAATAAAATCCTAATTTCATGCCTTCAAGGATAGTTCGGGTCCATTTCTGGTCTTTTCAGCACCCTTTGTAACTAGCTTCATTCTAACATCGTTACAGAAAAACCATGCGGATGGATACTGACCCCTGAGGACTTCCTAAAAGTACTAAAACTGGTAACGTTTTTTGTGGAGTGCTGTCTTATAAAAATTGCTACCAGATTGAAAATGGCTTTGAGATTTTTTTTTATTCTGTAAAATGATCATGATCAATAAATCCATCATTGATTGGACTTATCTGTATTGGTTGGATTATTTGTGAGGAAATATAAAGTGAGCTGAGGATTTTAAATAAGTGAGAGCCAAATCAGGAGGAGCCAGCTTCCTGGAAAGAGACTTCACGTCGTCTACCTGATGTTAGATGCCATTAATTCGGTTCCAACCCCTAGCAACCTTGTGCACAACAGAAGGAAACCCTGCCTGATCCTGTCTGCACAGAAAGTACATTCTCTCCCACTCTCAGCTGACACCACCACCTGGGTGGTGAAAGAAGAGCAAGAAAACAGAACCTTGGGCTCACTCAGCCAACATGGTTGCTTGTGGGCTGCCAATCCCCACAATCGAATGGGTCCAAGGGGTGGCTGTGTAATTGAGGGGTAAAATCAAAGAGACTTCAGACAAGATCAGGCATGCAAGTGCTCACTTCCAGGACCGCGGTCACTTCAGGAGCAAGGTCGGCGCAGAGAATGTATTTTCAACCAAATTTTATATACACTCTAGGGGCGTGCAAGTTCCCCTAATTACAGGTAACCACATACATAACAAGTGGGCTGTACCCTAACTCTAAAGGTTAACCTAACACCAGTGCATGAGCAGGTAAGGGGGAGTGGCTGTCTTCAGAGCCTAGAAAGCAATAGCACATATCTGCTATAGATAAAGCTGCTGACTACATAGCAATCAGCCATGTGCTTGTAAGAGGTAACTTTAAGGTAGCACTATTATGGGAGGATATGGTGGGGAACAGTATTAATTATGAGAATGTGCTTGGGATTCACTTCAACTCACTAGAGTGAAGGCCTCCCTCCACCCCAGAAACCCAGCCTGCCAAGCTTACTATATGGGAATAAAGGATTCACCCATATACACTCTCTTCTCGTTCTCTGCTCCCCACAGTTGCTATTCCTACAAAAAGGTGCTATGTGTTCCTATCAATGTTTACTGGGCAGGCCCTTTTGGGGGGCTGAGGGGGCGGGGCAGGTGTATAACCTAGATCTGCCCCTTGGTTATTTGCTTGGTTTCTCCAGCCACCGTTCTTGAGAGAAGGTATACAACACAAAATAGTCAATGTCTTTCCATTGGAAAAGAAAATTATTACATACAATTCTCAGTTTAGGAACGTTTGAAAGAACACTCACACCCATGACTCTGCTCTTCCTTCAGTCTTTAACTACCAGTTCAGTTTCAGTTAGTCTTACCTGGCTCTCAGTGCCTGCCAGCTAGCCAGACTCCCCTGCATCCTGCTTTTTCTGCCCTCTTGGCAAAGCCAGAGACTTTCATTCTTGTGTGCCCTTCTGGATATTTTTAAAAGCAAACGGGAGCTATATAGAGATCTAAACCAATGGGGTCACCATGGATCAGAACCAACATACAAGTAATCTACCTGGGCGTTCCTCATAATGACTCAGAAAGTTGTTTAATTCATGATTGAAAACGATAATCGCTGCATGCGTCAATGCAATCAAACACATTAGAAATAAATGTCACGTTCCTGGTTGAAAGCTGTTGACTAATTCTGCGCATCTTTCTTCGCAAACTGGGAACCACGTCTCAAATGAAGTAGACTCCCTCGGCTCTCTGCTCAGTGCTAAGCTCGAGCAGGGGTGTGTGGTCACGGGCTCAGAGTTAGAGACTTAGATTGGGAGATGTGTAACCAGGGCCAAGGCACTTGACCTCACCCAAATGCCTTCCTTAAATGGAGATAACCACAGCTACTGTGTGTATGAAATGCAGTGACGTAAGGAGCCCGTGCAGGTGCCTTGGTGGTGGTGTAGGTACACACTGGGCTGCCATTCACAAGGTCCGTGGTTCAAAACCACTCATCGGGAGAGAAAGATGGGGTTCACTACTCCCATAGTTTCAGTCTTGGAAACTCCCAGGAGCAGTTCTATCCTGTCCCATAGTGTCACTCACTATGAGTTGGCATCAGTGAGTGAGAACTACATCCCTGAGCACACAGCCCGTGGTCACTATTTGCTGTGGAGGGGCGAGGAAGGAAGGAGTACCGAGCCATTGACTAGGGGGTGTGGAAACCATGGGTGTGCATATTGGTGGGAGAGACACCTGGCTCTTGTGATGATTATGTTCCAAGAAGTGACTCCTTTATATGCTATGGGTTTTCCCTGTGTATAAGCACTAGGCTAACAGGGAATCTTAAGAGCTCTGTTGTTTGCAGGGAAAATACCCCAAAGAAATCACTTTGTTAAGTGCAAAGAAGTAAATTGATTAAGGCTTTGCTCTTTGGAAACTCACACAGATACAATCCTGTATCCACTCTGGAGGATGCTCAGGAAGACACGATTGCTAGTCTAAGGGGAAATAGACACGTGCAAGAGAAGGGCATCAGAGGTTGGGGCACAGAAACCAAAGCCAGAAGTGGATGTTTTGCTTCTCTATGTCCTCTGGTGCGCACCATGCCCAATATGAGAATAGGCTGCCTTGAAGCGATCTACATATTGAGTTGCAAGAATTTAAGCAGCAATAGAGATAGTGTTGTGGTTCATTGAGATTTAAATTCATACGTCCCCAATAGCTCTTCTTTTTCTCTTTGCAAATAGTGGGCATTTTAGGAAGAGGTAAGAACTCTTTTTTTTAATTCAGAGTTTATCCCACCCCCTTGGGATAAGTACTGGTAGTTTATTTTAATGCATATATGCCTATATTACACAGTTGGGATTCTGCTGTAAATATGTCAAACATATGAAGGGATATGTTTGGATCCTTGAGAGGTTTTTGCTGAATAAGCCAGAGTTAAATCTTAGACTACGGACTTTGGATGGGGATGCTGAAGCCCTGGGTCGTGTCAAGATGGAAACTCATCAAGTAGAAACCTTAGTGGAAGTTATCGTCCCAACAACTGTGATGGAGCTTGGAACAGCATTAAACACATTGCCAGCATTCTGACAAGACTATTAGCCAATGTATGGTGTTTTTACTTCTTAAAGAAATTCTTCAAGTATTACACAGTGGATACCTAATATTATGATTAAGTACACAGTGTTGGCTAGTTACCTAATGACCAAAATGAGTCATTTGATTCTGGTTCAGGGGGGCCCCATGTGTGTCAGGGTGGCTCCGTGCTCCATAGGGTTCCTAAGGGCTGGGATCTTTTGGAAATAAGTGACTATCGGGCATGTCTTCTGAGGTGCCTCTGGGTGCATTTGAACCAGTAACGTTTTAGTGAATAGTCAAGTGCTTAATTAACCATTTGTGTCACTAATAATTACAACTAAATGCTACAAAAGCACTTCATCAGTTAATCTGATTATCAGCCAATCTGGGGGTGGGATGTGTAATGTAATAACATGTATTGTAAGCGTGGTTTAGAAGACACACACTTTGTTCAAACACACACTTTATTTGTTTGTTCCATTGTTCAGCTTCTCTTTAATTTCTGCCCATAAAAACAGTGTTTTAAGTAGGACACCAAATTCTTCACTTCTCTAGACTCTTGGAATCACTGCTAAAATTTAAAAAGTGAAAGACTATTACATGTAGACTCAGGGACTCAACCAAGTCCAACATGCAAATGCATTCCTTCTGGGGTCAGCCAGCTGGCCTATTCCAGCCCTAGGGAATAGTTAATGCCTTGAACTATTCCTATCACCACAGGTTGCCAGGCCACCAAATAACGAAGCCAATCCAGCATCTGTCCATACAAAAAATGTGTGCGCTGCCAGCTACCACTCAGTTAAGGAGGATTCTCTATGTAAACGGAAATCACAGACATTTTCATGAATAGCATTTGTAAATATAATAAGCCATGCAATAAACTGGAATTCCTCTTCTTGTTAATTCCTATTAATTCTACGATTTTATGAGTAAATAAAATGACAAGTTTACAATTCAATCCCAAAAGATGAAAAAGAATGAAAGGGAAGGGCCATATGCTGGAAGGAGGAGGAGCAGGTGGGGAGCGACCAACCTGAGAAACCACCGTAAGGGAAAGTACTGTCATGAAGCAAAAACGTAGCTCCACCCTCTCCTGCAGCCAGCTCCTCCCATGAACCCCCTGTACATTCAAAACTGGCACCTCGAAGGGAAGGCACTTGCGTTCCTGGACAGGACCTTTCATCAATCATGCCAGGCAAACAACGCATTGTTTCTCTGGTAGCAATTTCAGAAACCAGGCACCAGGTATTAAACATGCAGCATTTTCTTAAACCGAATCTGTTAAAAAGTGTATAATTTTTTTTTTATTTTCTCAGCTTCATTCTCCTAAAGAATTGTTACTTTGCTACGTACACTACCATTGAAGGCAGCATTTATGATCGTAGTCAGCACCACGTTTGTAAAAGAAGAGTGATGTCCTGCTGTTTGATAAGACACGAGCCCAAACCTGCTCGGGACCCAGGGTAGTGGATGAACACCAGCAGAGGAAGGTGCGGCTGGACCTTTCCACGTGAGTTGGGCTGACTCACCAAGGTCAGCCAGGCCTGGAGATAGAGCTGGTGGCTGCCCTGAGGCCAAGAGGCCCTTTCTCCACTGTCCTACTAAGCTCTGTTCCTTTGAGATGAGGGTGTGCTGTCCGTGCAGGGCGGATGGTAGGGGAAGCAGGGAGCTAGGAAAACTGTTCAGTTTGGGTGACTGTGGCTCAGAAAGCACACACAAAGCAGTACTTGGCAGATTGGGGCATGCCTCTCAGTGCTTGCCTGCTTATGGGGGGCATGCTTTCACCCCATTTAACCCCCAGCCCCAACCAAGGTATATACTATGGTCTTGGGATGGTGTGTTCGATGGCAAAGGCTTTTTAGTCAGCTCTGGATGGGGCCATTCCATCTCACGGCTTTAATGCGATTTGATTTTATTTAGTTGGGGCTCCCTGGTGCCTATAAACATCCTAGTCACTGCCATGAGCTGACTGAGTCTATACGGATTATTTCCTTCCAATTATTCTCATCAAGGTTTAGCCTAAGAAAAGAAGAGGAATAGTAAGGAATTAAAAAATAGCCACAAAGCCCATGGGGGCGGGGGGACCATACTTACTTCAGGAAAGCACACAAGTTGGTATACTCTAAAAATGATCTTCCATACTCCAATTCACATCTGGGCCTTTAAGATGTTCAATTTCAATCTATTTGTTGACCCTCACACCCATCCCATTCACCCACTCCTCACAGCTATCTTTTCATTCCATCGATTGACCTTTAGGAAATCCCAGCACTGAACCTGTAGAGCGGAAAAGCTGGAGGGGGAAGAATGGGATGTATTTATTTTAACTTCCTACCCAGAATGCTCGTAAAGACAGAACAGAAAAGAGACCAATAAAGCATAGTTGTGAAATTGATGGAACGGGAAAACAAAATTCTGTTGCAACTATATAACACTAATGAAAGTCCAGGCTGAGAATGTATCCCCAGAAAATTTTGAATACACACACACACACACACACACACACACATACACATACACACATACATATCTACATACCCTCTGTCATCCAGTCAATTCCAATTCATATTGACCCTACAGGGTAGACCTGTCCCTGTGGTTTTTGAGCACTAACTCTTTACAGGAATAGGAAGCCCCATCTTTCTCTTCAAAGAGGCTGGAAGTTTTGAATTTCTAACCTTGTAATTAGCAGTCTGATGCTTAATCACTGTGTTACCAGGGATTGATCTATCAGTTTATCAATACACACATGCGCACATGCACAAACATATATCTCTTCTGTTTTAAAAAAGGATACGGGTTAGTGATCATCCTCTTCAAATCCACCTTCTCTTTGCAGTAAGGGCAAGTCTGTTTTTTACCAACAATACACCAGCCTCGGATGCAGAATTCATGAAAGCTTAAGCATTATGTTAGGGAAGCTTCTAGATATGAAAGGGCAATAGCTGACTCCTGATGACAGATGGAAATGATACCAATTTCAGTCTCCTCCCTGCAACTGTTCCGTAAGGGGATGTCCAATTGCCTACAGATGGGCTTTGGGTCTCCACTCTATACTCCCCCTCATTCACTATGGTAAGATTTTTTTGTTCTGATGATGCCTGATACCTGATCCCTTCGA